CTAGCCTGGTCGACCGCCAGCACTGCATGGTCAACTGCTAGCCAGCGTTGCGTAGAGGAGCCGCGCCAGCACTGAAGAATGGCGACCTGCCAACACTGCAGGTCGACAGTGTGCCAACGCTGCAGCAGAGGGGCTTGTCTAGCGTTGCCCCGTTAGAAGACAGCAGTGTGCACGCTCGCATGTGCGCGCAGACGATTGACCGACTTGCCTCGTTGTGCATCCGTCGGTTGTTGTCTGCGCCTGACGAGCCACATCGACTTCGAGATACAAGCTGAAGTCGCCTTCGCCATCGCGACCTCGACGACGTTCGCGTGCCTCTGCACAACTCGTCGAGCAGGTTATCCGGTCGACCTGGCCGACCAATAAGTGCTTTGGTGAACCACAAGGTGCTCCGGTCGATCTCCAATGCATCTGGTCGACCACTAGGTCCCTGTCGAGCTACCCCCTGGTCGACGGACCCCTTTCAGTCGACCAGAACTGCCAGCTGTTGTTGCCGAGCTCCTCCTGTCGTCCGCTGCTCACGTGTCAAGTCGCCGGACTACTCTGTCGGCCTCCCGGTCGAACTGCCCCTCCTGGTCGACGGCCCACCCGTCTCCCAGACCAGTCAGCTGCAGCTGTCGAGCTCCCTGGGTCGACGGTTCCAGTCCCGTGACAGTCCTCTACAGGTCAACAACTACCACGTCGACGTGCCCCGGAGAAGAAGGCCATTGAGTACTCCTGGTCAACGGCAACACTACAGTGATTCCCTGCAGCTCGACGAAGCCCGTTGAGCAGCACCTTCACTGCAAACGGTCGGCTGCTTCTCCCTTACATCCGACCAAGTCGTCGGCGTTGCCCAAGCGAGGGCGGGGCCAACACTCCACTCCCGTTAAGACTCCCTTGCTGCGCTCACGCTTGGGCCTCCAGCCCACACGACAGTACTCCACAGAGAAAACTCGTCCTCGGCGTGCACCCCACACACAGCACGCCGTCACCGCACCAGCCGTGCAGAAAGGCACGGCACCTACTGCTGCACATCATCGTCGGCGTCGCCGACGTCGGCTAGACGAACTTGGCCGATGGCAACAGAGCACCGGTTGTAAAGCTGAAAAATGCAGCGCCGTTGTCATGAAGTCCGCCGGCTGCTCGGTGGTCGGGATGTAATTTAGCATGAACTTCCCGCGCCTCACCATGTGCTACAGCCAGGCATAACGTCGCTCCATGTGCTTGAGGTTGCCTGTCAGCCCCAAGCCCTCAGCGACCGTGATTGCCGACTTGTTGTCCACACGAAGGATAGTCGGCTTCCCAGCGTCGAAAGCAACTTGAACTCTGCAAAGAGGAAGCGAAGTCGACGCCCCTCCTTGCCAACATCAGTGGCAGCGACGTACTCTGACTCGGTCGAGGAGAGTGTCGCGCACTTCACTGTGCCAGCTCGACCAGAAGACAGCGGCCCCTTTGAAGACGAACACGTAGCCGCCCGTGGCTCGTCCCGATTCTGCCTTGTCGCCAGCGTCGTCGACGTCCACGTACCCCGATCAGCTCCAGTGACTCTGGTCCACCGCTGAACTCCAGGTCGGTGTCGCGGGTTTCGGTGAGGTAGGCGAGGGCAGCGGTAGAACTCGCGCTAGTGCTGGTCACTCCTCACCGTGAGGCCACTCCCCAGCTTGCTGGAAGCGAAGGCCATGTTCGGCCTCGTCGTCGTCGCCGCGAATTGCAGCGAGCCAACCGTCTGCCAGTAATCCTCCTTGTCGTCGAATGTCAGCTCGACGTAGGCATCGACCGAGACCGGCATCTTCGGGACTCGACCGCCCTGCTCCTCATCGATGAAGCGCCTGCGCAATCTTGTCAGCGTAGCCCTGCTGGTGTAGCCACAGCTTCCTTGCCGGCCTATCGCGCACGATCTCCTACCCAAGGTATTTCACCACCAGCAAGATCTCACGCAGCTCGAAGGCGGCCTCCAGCAGCTCCTTCAGCTCCTTCATCATCGCCGTGCTGCTGCTGGCGGCGAGCAAGTCGTCGACGTAGACCAGCACCCAGCACGTCACTCCGTCATCGCCGGCCTTCAAGTAGAGCGCATTGTCGATCTGGCTCTTCTTCCACTCAGCGCCCAGCAGCACACCGTGGAGGGCCCTGTACCACAGCAGCGGCGACTGCTTTAGCCCGTAGAGGCTCTTCAGCAGCTTGTGCACCCATTGTCGAAGTAGTCCGGCTGGTACATGTACAGCTATCGGTCGAGCTTGCTCTGTAGGAAGGCGTTCTTCATGTCGAGCTGCATCAGGTTGAGGTTGAGGACGGCGAAGATGCTAAGGAAGATCCTCAGCGTGACATAATTGCTCACTGGTGAGTACGTCTCGTCGTAGTCGGCGCTGTACACCTGCGTAAAGCCCTTCACGACCAGCCTTGCCTTCTCGCGCTCGACGGTGTCGTCAATGCGGTACTTGGTCATCAGCACCCACCGGTTCTTCATGATGTTCACCCCGGGTGGGCGTTCGACCAACTCCCAAGAGCCCATGCCGATAAGACTGCGGATCTCCTCTTCCATAGCGGCCTTCACTGCCTTGCCCTTCTAGCTCGCCAGCGCCTCCTTCACCGTCATCGTGGCAATGTCCAAGTGGTGTTTGGGGTCGCCATGTACGCCGAGATCGAGCTCGGGGCAAATCCTCATCCTCCTCGGCGTCGTCGTACAGCAGGTCGTCGTCGACCTCGTCGTACGCCGTGTTGAAGGCGGTCGGTACGAAGATTTGTAGCTCGAGCTTCGTGATGGGCACCCCCACCACGTCGCTGTCGGTGGACTCCTCACGCGTTGACTACTCCCCTTCCTCGTCGACGTCCTCGTCGTCGACCAGCTGCTTCGATCCTTCGACCGGCTGCTGACCAGCTGCTGACTTTGACAGCTCCCCTGTTGACCGCCCCGGCTGCTGCTCCCCTGTCGATTGTTCCCCTGCTGCTGCCTCTTGTTCGACTGACTCCCCTATCTGCTGCTCCCCTGTCAACGACGACTTCCCATCCTGGTTACGAGCTTGGCGCCTTGTCGACCGCCGGCGATGCCACTGACCAGTGCCACAGGCGACACCTCAAGGCTCCCCTTATGGTCGGTGGCCGACACAGGTATCGTCGCAGACCGATCTGCAACGGTGAGGGGAGGATCAAGAGCAAGTGGAGGAGGAAGAACTTCCACGACATCCTCATCAGCAGGCTCGTTGACCTCCGCGAGCAGCGTGACCATCGCTGTCGAGGTGTCTGCCAGCGGCTGCACCTGTGTCCGCCCCGACCCCGGCCCATACTTCGCCTTTCTCGTAGAAGATCACCTCAACCGACGTGACGACCTTGTTGTCAGTCAAGACCAACACCTCCTAGACACACCCCAGGTGAAGCCCCCTCGAGCCTTTGGCGCTAGCTTCCCACCGCGCTGTTACTCAGGGATCATGAATTGCATCATGCAACCCCACACCCGTGCCAGCGTGAGGTCGGGCTTCTTTCCGGTCAGCAGGTACGGAGTCGTCCCTGGCGGCGTCATCAACCGCTCCAAGCATTTGCGCACCCAGACAGCCTGTCTAAGAGCGAGGTGCCACCAGTGGTGCTGCACGCCCATATGCAGCAAAAATGCCCGCACGGACTCGATGACCGTGCGCAACTCCCGCTCAGCCATGCCGTTCTGCTCCAGAGTATAGAGGCACGTCAAGTCGTGGACGATGCCCTTCTCGTTAACGAAGACGGTCAACACCTTCCCGAGGAACTTCTCTCTTCGGCCTCAGCGGAAGATCAGCACCGTCTTCTTCGTGTGCCGCTCGACCAGCACCAGCCACTGTTGCAACTCTAGCAACACGTCGCTTTTCTTAGCGACCGGCATTGCCCACACAAATCGAGTGTGGCGATCCTTCAGCAGCAAGAAGTACAAGCTGCCATCCTTGGCAGCCACCCGAAATGGCCCGCACAAGTCAATGTGCACGACACCCAGGGCAACATCGGCATTCGAACCCTTGTCGGGGAAGGTGTGCCACGCCAGCTTGTCAAACTCTTATGCTATAGTCTGTGTAGGCTGTAGTGGGGTAGACAATATGGGTACAACACTATTAAGTTTTCCTACTTGAAACCACCTGCTCGCTAGCTCATTCATTCCTTCCTCATTTCTTCACATGGTATAGAGCAGGTTCCCTAGTGGGAACGCTTCTCAGGGCCCACCACTGATTTTTTTTTTCCTGACCGGAGCGCGAGTCGCCCCTGCCCGAGGCGCGCCCCGTTGGCCGCTCTCACGGCCCCCTCGCGCCACCCTTAGCGGCCCCGTCGCCACCCCTTACGGCCCCGTTGCCGTCCTTTGCGGCCCCGTCGCCGCCCCCTCTAGGCCCCTCGCGGCCCCTTCGCGGCCCCGTCGCCGCCTGTAGCGGCCCCGTCGCCGCCCTTCGAGGCCCCTCTCGGCCCCTTTGCGGCCCTGTCGCCGCCCCTAGCGGCCTCGTCGCCGCCCTTATTGGCCCCGTCGCTGCTCCTATCGGCCCCGTCGCAGCCCTTTGACGCCCCTCTCGGCCCCTTTGCGGCCCCCGTCGCCGCCCCTAGCGGCCCCCTCGCCGCCCCTATCGGCCCCGTCGCCGCTCCTAGCGGCCCCGTCGCCGCCCTTATCGGCCCCGTCGCCGCCCCTAGCGGCCCCGTCGCCGCCCTTCACGGCCCCCCTTCAGCTGCCAAGTGGCCGAACCACTGAGCCGCCGAGCCGCCCAGCCACCGAGCCGCCCAGCAGCCGCGCCGCCCAGCAGCCGAGCCGCCCAGCAGCCGAGCCGCCCAGCAGCCGAGCCGCCCAGCAGCCGAGCCGCCCAACAGCCGAGCCGCCCAGCAGCCGAGCCGCCCCAGCAGCCGAGCCGCCCAACAGCCAAGCCGCCCAGCAGCCGAGCCGCCTAGCAGCCGAGCCGCCCAGCTGCCGAGCCGCCGAGCCGCCTTCGAGCTGCTACTGTTCCTACCGGCGCGCACCGGCCCTTCCCACCCGGACTGGTGAGAGCACTCCCTGTTAGACCACTGCTGTCATGGCTACCCCAATGTCCTTACCTTTGATGCTAAGGGTCGTGCTGTTGACTTTGAGGTCTGGGTCGATGACCTCCAGCTCTTCCTACAGTGCGATAGGGCAGACGGACTCTCCCTGTTTGATCTCACCTCTGGTGCCTCTCCTGCCCCGCCTGCTACTGCTGACAGCACTGTTCGCTCACAGTGGGCCACACGCGATGCTGCTGCCCGTCTTGGTGTGCGTCGCCACTTACCGACCGCTGAGCGTGCGCACTTTAGTCAGTACAAGAGTGCTAAGACCTTGTACGACGCTGTAGCTGCACGCTACTCTTCCCCTGCCACTGCTGCTCTTAGCCGCCTCATGCTGCCGCACTACCGCGATGCGCTTCCTTCTGAGTTCTGTGCCAAGAACCCTCCCCCCATGTACATCACCCTCTACTACATAGTCAACCGACTCCCAGACTCCCTTCGCTTAGTCAGGGACCACTTCCTCTCAGTTTGCCCCACCACACTCACCGTTGACCTCCTCGAGGAGCGCCTCCTAGCAGCAGAGAAGAGCATAGTCGCTGTAGGAGCCTCTCGTGGTGACCCTCGTACCCCCGTCTTTGAGGGGTGTTCCCCCTCCCCCCTCTTGCCCTCTGTTGCTTCTGCTACTGCGGCCGACCTCGTTGGTTTCGAGTTGGTCGGCGCTACGTCTGCCCCTAGCGAGAGACGCTGCAAAGGCAAGGGCAAGGGGGGCAAGGGCGCTGGAGGGGCTGGCGGGGGCGGTGGAGGTGGCGGTGGAGGCAGTGGAGGGGGTGGGGGTGGTGGTGGGAGTGGTGGCGGGGGTGGAGGTGTCGGTGGCAGCAGTGGAGGCGGAGGAGGCGGCGGCGGTGGCGGTGGGAGCGGGGGCGGCGGCGGCGGCCGTGGAACTGGTCGCGGCTCTGCACAGAGGAGTGGCTCCGGTGGTGGTCAGCGCCAGCAGTAGCAGCGCATTCGTGAGACCCCGTCCCCCCAGCAGCTTCGTGAGTGGTACGCTGCGCGTCAGCGAGGTGGGGGTACTGGTCCCTGTACCTACGTCCTCCGTACCGGCGACCGCACTGTTGAGCAGTGCGGGGGCTCGCACTCCACCCAGCGCTGCTTCAGCCGCCTGACGAACGCTTGGCGTCACCAGTTCCCTGACGCCACTGAGATCCCTCCCTGGGGAGAGCTGTCTAGGGCGGGGGTTGCTATCTTTGATCTTGACTATGATGCTATTCTTGCTGCCATGTATGCTTTGTCTGCTAGTGATGAGGGTGACTGTTACCTGTGTGTTCCGCCTGACCCGGGCATTGAGGCTGCTGCTCTAGGTGCTGGTGAGGCTGCTCCTCTAGGTGCTAGTGCGTCTGCTGCCCCAGGTGCTGGTGAGTCTGCTCTCTCAGGCACCACGTCGGCTCAGGCCTTACACACCTTCACCCTTGACTCGGGTGCTTCCCGCTCCTTCTTTCGAGACCAAACCACGCTTTCGCCGCTTAGTCGGCCGGTTGCGGTCTCCCTGGCGGACCCCTCTGGGGGTCCTGTCCTTGCTCGCTTCTCCACTGTCTTACCGTGGCCGGCAGCCCCCTCTGGCACCCTGTCAGGTCTCTACCTCCCCTCGTTCTCTACAAACTTGGTGAGTGGTGCTGACCTACAAGATGGGGGGGTTGACCAGTTCACTCCTGCGAGTTAGCGCGTGACCCACTGCACGTGTGCTCGGACGGGCCGACACTTGGCCACGTTTACCCGTCGGCCGGGGTCGAGCCTGTACACACTGACTACTGAGTCTGCTCCGGTTGCTAAGTCTGGTCAAGTAGCTGCGTCGAGTCAGGTGTTTACTGCAGAGTTCGGGTCTGGTCCTGAGTCTGCTCCCTGCTCCTGTCGTCTCCTGTCCCACCAGACTCTCCTTTGGCACCACCGCCTTGGTCACCCCTCCCTGCCTCGTCTCCTAGGCATGGCCTCCCGTGTTCTTGTCTCTGGTCTCCCCCGGTCCCTCCCTCCCTTCCCTCCGGGGCCTGACCCTACCTGCGTTCCCTGCGTCGAGGGGCGGCAGCGCGCCGCCCCTCACTCCTCCGAGTTTTCTCTGACAGAGGCTCCCCTACAGACTCTTCACATGGACGTGTGGGGCCCCGCCCGCGTCTGTGGCCAGGGTCACGAGTGTTACTTCCTGTTGGTGGTTGACGACTACTCGTGTTACACCGCGGTGTTCCCCTTGCGCAGCAAGGGTGACATCACTCAGGTGTTGATCGAATGGATCCGCGCAGCTCGTCTCCAGCTCAGGCAGAGCTTCGGCTCGGACTTTCGTATTCTACGTCTGCACTCTGACAGAGGCGGGGAGTTTTCCTCTGCCCGTCTGGGAGCCTTCTGTCGTGCACAGGGCATCCGCCAGACCTTCACGCTTCCGGCCTCTCAACAGAAAAATGGGATTGCTGAGCGCCGCATTGGCATGGTCATGGACGTCGCTCGTACGTCCATGATCCATGCGGCTGCCCCCCATTTTCTGTGGCCGTTTGCGGTTCAGTACGCAGCGCATCAGCTCAACCTTCAGCCCCGGGTCTCCTTGCCAGAGACCTCCCCCACCTTGCGGTGGACGGGGAAGGTTGGCAATGCATCTGCGTTTCGGGTCAGGGGATCTCGAGCGTTTGTCCGCGACTTGTCTGCGGACAAGCTGTCCCCCCGTGCTGTTCCCTATGTCTTCCTTGGCTTCCCCCCTGACGCGCCTGGTTGGCAGTTTTACCACCCCACCTCGCGCCGTGTTCTGTCCTCCCAGGACGTCACCTTTGACGAGTCGGTGCCTTACTACCGTATCTTCCCCTACCGCACTGCGCCCCTCCCCCCGCCGCCGCTCTTCCTTGCGCCAGGTCCTCCCCCGGTAGACCCTCTCCCCCCTCAGGGTCCTGCCCTGTCAGGTGTGTCCCAGGTAGACGCCGTCGAGCTTGTCGAGGTAGCTGTTGACTCTGGTGCTGCTAGGGGTGCTGAGCCTGCGGGTGCCGGGTCTGGGGGTGCTGAGCCTGGGGGTGCGGAGCCTGGGAGTGCTGAGTCTAGGGGTGCCGGGCCTGGGGGTGCTGAGCCTGGGGGTGCAGAGCCTGGGGGTGCGGAGCCTGGGGGTGCTGGGTCTGCTTCGTCGAGGCGTGAGCTACTCTCTCCGCAGGAGCTGCGCGACTGGTTTGCCCGCCGCTGGAGCCATGCTGCTGGAGCTGGAGATACTACTGTTGCTGCTGATCCTGGAGGTGCTCGTACTGGCGGTACTGGAGCTGCTAGGACTGGGGGTGCTGCTGGGGCTGCTGGAGTTAGTCCTGCTGGAGGTGCTGCTGGAGCTGCTGGCAGTGCTGGAGCTGAAGGTCCTGCTGGGGTTCGTGCTGCTGGAGCTGCTGGAGCTGGAGCTGCTGGGGGTGTTGGCGCTGGTGGTTCTGCTGGCGCTGGTGCTTCTGAGGGTGCTGGAGTTGGCGCTGTTGGAGCCGGAGGTGCTGCTGGCGCTGGTGCTGCCGCTGGGGGTACTGGTGCTGTCCCTTCTGGTTCTGGAGGCGCTGCGTGGCCGCGGCCGTACTTCGTTCCGCTCCTTGAGCAGGTTCTTGGTCTCCCGCCCTCTACTGGTCCTGCTCCTCCCTTAGAGTGTCCACAGCCTGTCCAGTCGCGGTCACACTTACAGCCCGCCTCCCCCCTACCTGCTCCTTCTCCCTACACTGGTCCTTCTGTAGGTCTTGCTGAGCGTCGTGAGCCTGCGTCTCGTCCTGCGTCGCCTGTTCGTGCTGCTCGCACTAGTGGTCGTGTTGCGCGTCAGCGTCCTCATGCGGTCCCGGGCACGCACAAGATGGCACTCCGTACTTCCACTACTCTGCAGCGTGTCCCCTTGCCGTCTCCACCTGAGTCCTCTCTTCCTGCTCTTGCTGACCCGGAGTCGGACTCTCTTCGTGCTGCCAGTCCTACTGTCACGCGTCTCCTAGCTACTGTTGTCACTGACCCTTCCTTTGAGTCCACTGCTGCGCTTGCCTTAGTTGGTGAGTTGGTCGACTTCGTTGCTCACTCTCGTCTAGACGACGCTCCTAGTCTTGTTGCTGAGTCTGAGTCTGTCTGTCCTCCGTCCGTCGGGGGTGACTGTGCTCTTGGCACGGACGTCCTAGAGGACAGGCAGGAAGAGTTCCAGTGTCTTGCTGCTGCTTTGCCTCATCTCGTGTCCATGCTGATTGCCCCTGAGGGAGACCGGGATGTATCAGGCATCCCGACTCCTCGATCGTACGCTGAGGCGATCGAGGGTCCCAACTCCTCACAGTGGCAGTCAGCCATGGACGCAGAGATGGCTTCCTGGAAGTCCACAGGCACCTACGTTGACGAGGTTCCCCCACCTGGGGCGAACATCGTTAGTGGCATGTGGATTTTCAGGGTGAAGCGGCCGCCGGGTTCTCCGCCTGTCTTCAAGGCGCGTTACGTGGCTCGAGGCTTCAGTCAGCGGCAGGGAGTTGACTACTTTCAGACCTTCTCTCCCACCCCGAAGATGACCACTCTTCGGGTGCTGCTGCACATAGCCGCTCAGCGCGACTACGAGCTTCACTCTCTTGACTTCAGCACTGCTTTCCTGCAGGGCAGCCTGCACGAGGAGATCTGGCTGCGCCGCCCACCTGGCTTCATTGGGTCGTTTCCTGCAGGTACCCAGTGGAGCCTCCAGCGACCAGTCTACGGTCTCCGCCAGGCGCCCCGTGAGTGGCACGACAGACTGAGGACTACACTTGCGGCTCTTGGGTTTGCTCCTTCTACAGCCGACCCGTCGCTGTTTCTACGCACCGACACCTCTTTGCCGCCGTTCTACATCCTCGTGTACATCGACGACCTGGTCTTTGCCACTGCTGGACTCGCCCACGTGAAGTCCGAGCTGCAGAAGAGACACACGTGCACAGACCTGGGTGAACTGCGCAGCTACCTTGGCTTGCAGATCACTCGGGACAGAGCACAGCGCACCATTACCCTGACTCAGTCACACATGGTGCAGCAGGTCCTTCAGCGCTTCGGCTTCACGTACTCCTCGCCTCAGGCCACTCCTCTGTCTACTCGCCACTCGCTCTCAGCTCTGCCTTTGGATGAGTCCGTAGAGCCGAGTGGCTCGTACCCAGAGCTTGTCGGCTGCCTCATGTACCTGATCACCTGCACACGACCTGACCTAGCATACCCTCTTAGCATCTTCGCACGCTATGTTGCTCCTGGAAGACACCGACTAAAGCACATGGCTGCAGCGAAGAGGGTGTTGCGCTACTTGTGCAGTACGTCGGTCATGGGGCTAGTGCTTGGAGGGCGACGTCGAGTGGTCCTCATAGGTCACGCAGACGCTTCTTGGGCTGACGACCAGGCTACGCAGCGGTCGTCACAGGGTTACACCTTCAGCCTTGGCTCCGGCTCTGTTTCGTGGCGGTCTACCCGCTCGTCTTCTGTTCTTGGCTCCAGCTGTTGTGAGAGTACGACGGCTTATGCCGGCTATGCTTGCTTGCCTTTACTTTGTTATGCTATTTCTAGCATAGGATAATTATATGCATGCATGAATTGCTTGATTTCCTAGGCTAGTTATAGCAACGAGCTAGGTCGCGTGCACCGAATTCTAGCTTTTTGGTTGCCACTGAATTGCCTGTCAGAACAGTATAGCTTATGCTTTTGTGTAGGCTATAGTGGGGTATCCCATAGGGGGTACAACCCAATTAGGGTTAGTACTTGTACCCACTTCATTCATAGTTCATTCATTAGCGTCCACTCCTTCACATGGAATCAGAGCAGGTCCCCTCCTAGGGACTGTTCGTAGGGCCCACCGAAGCGCGCCCCGAGGCGCGCGTTCCTTTTTTTTTAGCGACCCTCCGTGTCGCCCCTAGCGGCCCGTTACGCCGCCCTTACCTACGCGGCCCCGCCGCCCTTACCTACGCGGCCCCGCCGCTCTTACCTACGCGGCCCCACCGCCCTTACCTACGCGGCCCCGCCGCCCTTACGTCGCGGCCCCGCCGCCCTCAGGTCGCGGCCCCGCCGCCCTCACGTCGCGGCCCCGCCGCCCTCACGTCGCGGCCTCGCCGCCCTCACGTCGCGGCCCCGCCGCCCTCAAGTTGCGGCCCCGCCGCCCTTACGTCGCGGCCCTGCCGCCCTCACGTCACAGCCCCGCCGCCTCACCTTCGCGGCCTCGCCGCCCTCACCTTCGCGGCCCCGCCGCCCTCACCTTCGCGGCCCCGCCGCCCTTACCTACGCGGCCCCGCCGCCCTTACCTACGCGGCCTCGCCGCCCTTACCTACGCGGCCCCACCGCCCTCACGTAGCGGCCCCGCCGTCTCACCTTCGCGGCCCCGCCGCCCTTACGTAGCGGCCCAACCGCCTCACCTTCGCGGCCCCGCTGGTCTCCCCTTCTGCCGAGCCGCCCGAGCAGCCGCCCGCCACGCCGCCCAGTACCGGAGCAGCCGAGCAGCCCAGCAGCAGCCGCCGGGCCGCCTGGCCGCCGAGCCGCGGTTCAGCCGAGCCGCCCAGCAGCAGCCGCAGATCCGCCGGGCCGCCGAGCCGCAGTACAGCCGAGCCGCCCAGCAGCCGCCGCCGAGTCGCCGAGCCGCAGTACCGCCGAGCCGCCCCGCAGCCGAGCCGCACTACTGCCGAGCCGCCCGACCTGCCCTGTCTGGTGAGCACAGCCCCACTGCTACTGCGTGCCCTTCCCCCACTGCTTGCACTGCTAGTCTGTCGTCATGGCTACCCCTAGTGTCCTTGCTTTTGACGCTGAGGGTCGAGCCATTGACTTTGAGGTCTGGGTCGACGACCTGCAGCTGTTTTTACAGTGCGATAGGGCGGACGGTCTTTCTCTCTTTGACCTCACCTCTGGCGCCTCCCCTGCTCCTGCTGCTGATGCTGACCCCACTGTTCGCTCTTAGTGGGCCACCCGCGATGCTGCTGCACGTCTTGCTGTGCGTCGCCACCTGCTTACCACTGAGCGCGCGCACTTTAGTCAGTACAAGAGTGCTCAGACCTTGTACGACGCTGTAGTTGCGCGCTACTCTTCCCCTGCCACTGCTGCACTGAGCCGCCTCATGCTACCGTACCTCTTTCCTGACCTTGCTGCCTTTCCTACAGTCGCTGACCTCATCACGCACCTCCGCACTTCTGACACTCTATACCGCGCCGCACTTCCTGCTGAGTTCTGCGCCAAGAACCCCCCCCCCATGTACATCGCTCTCTATTACATAGTCACTCGCCTCCCTGACTCCCTTCGCGTAGTCAGGGACCACTTCCTCTCAGTCTGTCCCACCACCCTCACTGTCGACCTCCTCGAGAAGGCCCTCCTAGCGGCGGAGAAGAGCATAGTCGCTGTAGGAGCCTCTCGTGGTGACCCGCGCACCCCCATCTTTGAGGGGTGTTCTCCTTCCCCCCTGCTGCCCTCTGTTGCCTCTGCTGCTGCTGCTGCCGACCTGCTTGGTCTTGAGTCGGTCGGCGCGGCGTCTGCCCCTAGCGGGAGACGCCGCCCTGGCAAGGGCAAGGGGGGCAAGGGCGCGGGTGGAGCTGGCGGGGGCGGTGGAGGTGGCAGTGGCGGTGGCGGAGGGAGTGGGGGTGGCGGTGGGAGTGGTGGTGGGGGTGGTGGTGGTGGTGGCGGCAGCGGAGGCGGCGGCGGGAGCGGAGGTGGAGGTGGCGGTGGGAGCGGAGGCGGCGGTGGTGGCGGAGGTGGAGGCGGCGGTGGCGGAGGAGGTGGAGCCGGTCGGGGTAGTGCCCCGCAGCGGAGCGGCTCTGGTGGTGGTCCGCGCCAGCAGCAGCAGCAGCAGCAGCGTTCTCGGGACATCCCCCCACCTCAGCAGCTCCGTGAGTGGTACACGCAGCGTCAGCGTGGTGGGGGTCTTGGCCCGTGCACCTACGTTCTTCGTTCCGGCGACCGCGCGGGTGAGCAGTGTGGGGGTGCCCACTCCACCCAGCGCTGCTTTGGCCGCCTGACGGACGCTTGGCGTCAGCAGTTCCCCGAGGCTAGTGAGATTCCCCGCTGGGGAGAGCTGTCTAGGGCTGGCATAGCGATCTTTGATCTTGACTTTGATGCTATCCTTGCTGCCATGTATGCTGTGACTATTAGTGATGAGGGTGACTGTTACCGGTGTTTCCCGCCCGACCCGGGCATTGGTACTGCTGCGCTAGGTGCTTGTGAGGCTGCTGCTCTAGGTGCCAGTGCGTCTGCACTCTCAGGTACTGGTGAGGCTGCGCTCTCAGGTACTGCGTCGGCTTCGGCCTCCCTCACCTTCACACTTGACTCAGGGGCTTTTCGCTCCTTCTTTCGAGACCGCACCACACTCACGCCGCTTAGTCGGCCGGTTGCAGTCTCCCTGGCTGACCCCTCTGGGGGTCCTGTCCTCGCTCACTTCTCCACAGTCCTCCCGTGTCCGGCTGCCCCCTCGGGCACCCTGTCGGGTCTGTACCTCCCCTCGTTCTCGACGAACTTGGTGAGTGGTGCTGACCTGCAGGATGCGGGGGTTCACCAGTTTACTCCTGCGAGTCAGCGGGGGACCCACTGCTCGGACGCCCGCACAGGCCGACACCTAGCCACGTTTTCGCGTCGGCCCGGGTCGAGTCTCTACACCCTAACCATTGAGTCTCTTCCAGTCCCTGCGTCTGGCCAGGTAGCTGCGTCGGGTCAGGTGTTTGCTGCTGCGTCCAGGTCTGGTCCTGAGTCTGCCCCCTGCTTGTGTCGCCTCCTGTCTCACGAGACTCTCTTGTGGCACCACCGTCTTGGCTACCCCTCCTTGCCTCGTCTTCGGGGCATGGCTTCCCGTGTCCTTGTCTCTGGTCTCCCCCGGTCTCTCCCTCCCCTTCCTTCGGGGCCAGGACCCTCCTGTGTCCCCTGTGTTGAGGGGCGGCTCCGGGCTGCCCCTCACTCCTCCCAGTTTCCCCCGACAGAGGCTCCTCTGCAGACGCTTCACATGGACGTGTGGGGCCCGGCCCGCGTCCGTGGACAGGGTCACGAGCGCTACTTCCTGCTGGTGGTTGACGACTACTCGCGTTACACCACGGTCTTCCCCTTGCGCAGCAAGGGTGATGTCACTGGGGTGTTGATCGACTGGATCCGCGCAGCTCGTCTCCAGCTCAGGAGGAGCTTCGGCTCGGATTTTCCTGTTCTGCGTCTGCACTCTGACCGAGGCGGAGAGTTCTCCTCTGGCCTTCTGCGAGCCTAGTGTCGTGCACGAGGCATCCGCCAGACCTTCACGCTTCCGGACTCTCCACAACAGAATGGGATCGCTGAGCGCCGCATTGGCATGGTCATGGACGTCGCTCGTACGTCCATGATGCATGCGGCTGCCCCCCATTTTCTGTGGCCGTTTGCGGTTCAGTACGCAGCGCATCAGCTCAACCTTCACCCCAGGGTCTCCCGGCCGGAGACCTCCCCAGATCTGCTGTGGACGGGGAAGGTTGGCGATGCATCTGCGTTCCGTGTCTGGGGATCTCGGGCGTTTGTCCGCGACTTGTCTGCGGACAAGCTGTCCCCTCGTGCTGCTCCCTATGTCTTCCTAGGCTTCCCCCCTGACGCCCCAGGGTGGCAGTTCTACCACCCCTCCTCTCGTCGTGTTCTGTCCTCCCAGGACGTCACGTTCGACGAGTCCGTCCCCTTCTACCGCCTCTTCCCCTACCGCACTCCTTCCCTCCCCCCGCCACCGCACTTCCTTGTGCCAGGTCTCCCCCCGGTAGACCCCCTTCCCCCTCAGGGTCCTGCCCCTTCAAGTGTGTCCCAGGTTGATGCAGTCGAGCCGGTCGAGGTTGCTGGTGACTCAGGTACTGCTGGGGGTGCTGAGCCTGGGGGTGCTGCGCCTGGGGGTGCTGACTCTGTGGGTGCTGAGTTTGGAGGTGCTGAGCTTGGGGGTGCTGACTCTGGGGGTGCTGAGTTTGGGGGTGCTGAGCTTGGGGGTGCTGGGTCCGGGGGTGCTGAGCCTGGGGGTGCCGCGTCTGGAGCTGCTGAGCCTGGAGGTGTGGAGCCTGCGGCCACTGGACCTCCCCTTGTGTCGTCTGGCGGTGCTGGGCCTGGAGGTTCTCCGGGTGTTTCGTCTCGGCGGGAGCCACTCTCTCCACAGGAGCTGCGTGAGTGGTTTGCTCGCCGTTGGAGGCGTACGGCTGGAGCTGGCGCTTCTTCGACCGCTGAGGGTGCTGGTGCCGCCGGTCCCGGAGCTGCTGGGCCTACGGGTCCGCCTGGAGCTGGAGCTGCTGAGGGTGCTGGTTCTGAGACTACTACTGTCAGTCCTGGTGGTAGTCGTGCTGCGAGTGCTGCTGGTGCTACTGGAGGTCCTGCCGCTGGAGGTGCTGTTGGCGCTGGTGCTGCCGGAGGTGCTGAGGGTGCTGGTGCTGTCCGTGCTGTGTCTGGAGCTGCAGCGCGGCCTCGGCCGTACTTTGTTCCGCTTAATCAGCAAGTTCTTGGTCTTCCTCCTCTCTTAGAGTGTCCACCTCCTGTCCAGTCGCAGTCACAGTTACCGCCGGCCTCCCCACTGCCTTCTCCTTCACCTTACACTGGTCCTACTGGAGGTCTTGCTGAGCGTCGTGAGCCTGCGTCTCGTCCTGCGTCGCCTGTTCGTGCGGCTCGCACTAGTGGTCGCAGTTCGCGTCAGCGTCCTCCTCCTGTCCCTGGCACGCACCGGATGTCTCTGCGTCCGTCCACTACTCCTCTACGTGCCCCTTTGCCCTCTCCTCCAGAGTCCTCTCTTCCTGCGCTTGCCGACCCTGAGTCGGACTCTCTTCGTGCTGCCAGTCCTACTGTCACGCGTCTCCTTGCTACTGTCGTCACTGACCCCTCCTTTGAGTCCACTACTGCGTTTGCTCTTGTTGCTGAGCTCGTCGACTTTGCTGCTCGCTGTCGTCTAGACTACGCTGCTAGTCTTGTTACTGAGTCTGCGTCTGTCTGTCCTCCGTCCGTCGGGGGTGAGTGTGCTCTTGGCACGGACGTCCTTGAGGACACGCAGGAGGAGTTTCAGTGTCTGGCTGCTGCTTCACCTCATCTCGCGTCTGTACTGCTTGCCCCTGAGGGAGACCCGAATGCACTAGACATCCCGACTCCGCGCTCTTACGCGGAGGCCGTAGAGGGTCCCTACTCGTCTCAGTGGCAGGCAGCTATGGATGCAGAGATGGCTTCCTGGAAGTCCACAGGCACCTACGTTGACGCGGTTCCCCCTCCTGGGGCGAACATCGTCAGTGGCATGTGGATCTTCAGGGTGAAGCGGCCGCTGGGCTCTCCACCTGTCTTCAAGGCGCGGTACGTGGCTCGAGGCTTCAGTCAGCGGCAGGGAGTTGACTACTTTCAGACCTTCTCTCCCACCCCGAAGATGACCACTCTTCGGGTGCTGCTGCACATAGCCGCTCAGCGCGACTACGAGCTTCACTCTCTTGACTTCAGCACCGCTTTCTTGTAGGGTAGCCTGCACGAGGAGATCTGGCTGCGCCGTCCACCTGGCTTCACTGGGACTTTCCCTCCTGGCACCCAGTGGAGCCTTCGACGGCCAGTCTACGGTCTCCGCCAGGCACGGCGTGAGTGGCACGACACACTGAGGACTACGCTTGCGGCTCTTGGGTTTGCTCCCTCTACTGCTGACCCGTCGTTGTTTCCGCGCACCGACACTTCTCTGCCGCCGTTCTACATCCTCGTGTACGTCGACGACTTGGTCTTTGCCACAGCGGACACTGCTGGACCCGCCTACGTGAAGTCCGAGCTGCAGAAGAGACACACGTGCACAGACCTGGGTGAACTGCGCAGCTACCTTGGCTTGCAGATCACTCGGGACAGAGCACGCCGCACCATTACCTTGACTCAGTCGCACATGGTGCAGCAGGTCCTTCAGCGCTTCGGCTTCACGTACTCCTCACCTCAGGCCACTCCTCTATCTACTCGCCACTCGCTCTCAGCTCTGCCTTCGGATGAGTCCGTAGAGTCGAGTGGCCCGTACCCAGAGCTTGTTGGCTGCCTCATGTACCTGATGACCTGCACACGACCTGACCTTGCATACCCTCTTAGCATCTTGGCACGCTATGTTGCTCCTGGGAGACACCGACCAGAGCACATGGCTGCAGCGAAGAGGGTGTTGCGCTACTTGTGCAGTACGTCGGGCATGGGGCTAGTGCTTGGAGGGCGGAGTCCAGTGGTCCTCACTGGGCACGCGGACGCTTCTTGGGCTGTCGACCAGGCTACTCAGCGGTCGTCGCAGGGTTACACCTTCAGTCTTGGTTCCGGCTCTGTTTCGTGGCGGGCTACTCGCTCGTCTTCTGTTCTCGGCTCCAGTTGTGAGGTTGAGATCTACGCCGGGGCCATGGCTGCTCAGGAGCTTCGCGGGCTCACCTACCTGCTGACTGACCTTGGAGAGCCGCCTCATTCTCCTCCAGTGCTGTACGTAGACAACAAGGCCATGCTGGCCTTGTGTCGAGAGCAGCGCCTGGAGCACAGAACGAAGCACATTGCTCTCCGCTACTTTCTTGCTCGTGAGCTGCAGCAGCGTGGTCAGTTGCGACTTGCGTACGTTGCCTCTGAGGCCAACACTGCTGATGTTTTCACCAAGGCACTTCCGCCTTGTGATCATCAGCGTTTCTGCACTCAGCTGGGACTTGTCCCAGTCTTGCCTCACTTGCTCACCTCTTGATCTTACTTGTACTCTTGCATATATATATACCTGCTCTTGCTTGTTTAGACTTATATATATATGTCTCATCCTGCATGTGAACTGGCCTTGTGGCCTTGACCTTGTGCTCAGACTGTGTGGTGACGTTGTGATCCACCCTGAGCTTGCTTTGCTTTGCTTTTCTTGACTGGTCTTGTGACCCCTTGTTCTCCCCCACATTGCTTATGGGGGTGTGTCAGAACATTATAGCTTATGCTTTTGTGTAGGCTATAGTGGGGTATCCCATAGGGGGTACAACCCAATTAGGGTTAGTACTTGTACCCACTTCATTCATAGTTCATTCATTCGCGTTCACTCTTTCACATTGCCTTCTACCGAATTCGGTAAGGATATGTTCGGGACGCTTCGTGACTCGCGGAACCTTCGCGTAACACCTGGTTACGGGGCCTTGTGTCGAGCCTATATATAGCCTCGTGTTGTACCCATGTGATCATTCAATTCAGTTCAATTACATTTCTCTTTTTTGAGCTCGATCCTAGATCCTCACAGCTGTGAGGTTGAGATCTACGCTGGGGCCATGGATGCACAGGAACTACGCTGGCTCACCTACTTGCTGACTGACCTAGGAGAGCCGCCTCGTTTTCCTCCAGTTCTGTACGTAGACAACAAGGCCATGCTGGCCTTGTGTCAGGAGCACAGGTTGGAGCACAAAACGAAGCACATTGCTCTTCGCTACTTCTTTGCTCGAGCTGCAGCAGCGTGGTCAGCTGCGCCTTGCTTACGTGGCCTCTGAGGCCAACGCTGCTGATATCTTTACCAAGGCACTTCCGCCTTGTGATCATCAGCGCTTTTGTACGATGCTAGGTCTTGTGCCTACGTGGCCTCACTTGCTCACTTCTTGACCTTGCTTGTACTGTGATCTTTCTTTACCTGCACTTGCTTGTTTACCTTTATATATGATCTTGCATGTGAACTGGCCTTGTGGCCTTGCTCTTGTGCTCGGACTGTGTGGTGACATTGTGATCCACCTTGAGCTTGCTTTGCTTTGCTTGACTGGTCTTATGACCTCTTGTTCTCCCCCACTTTGCCTATGGGGGTGTGTCAAACTCTTATGCTATTGTCTGTGTAGGCTGTAGTGGGGTAGACAATATGGGGTACAGCACTATTAGGTTTTCCTACTTGTACCCACCTGCTTGCTAGTTCATTCATTCCTTCCTCATTTCTTCACACAGCTTTCATCGACGCACGAGACACACGGCGGGTCTGCTCTGGTCAACGGCATGATGTCAAGCCTAGTAGCAAATTCATGCTTCGCCGAGCTCTTGATTGTGTCGACGCCGACGTGAGCGAGCCTCGCATGCAGCCGGACAGGGGTCGACTTCGTCGCCGAGACGATTGTCCGCAGAGCCACCACCTCGGTCGATGGCGACCGCGCCGAGCACGGGCAAAGGTCGGTGCAGAGGAATCGTCTGGTGTAGCGTGATGGACCGAGCACCTCCCCGGTTGCGGCGACGAGTAGCATGTCATCGCCGTCGCCCTACAGTTGCACTCCGCTCTCCTTCAGTTGGCTGGCTGACAGCAGGTTCGCCTGTACTCCCGGTACATAGAGCACGTCGGGGATGAGGACCCGCTTCCCGGCCTCCCCTTGCAGAGCGACGGTTCCGTGACCCTCGACGAGCTGCAGTGCCCCGTTGAATCCACGCACGTGCTTCACACCATGTCGACGAAAACTGCCCTCGTCCCCATCAGGTGGTGGGAGCACCCGCTGTCGAGCAGCACCGCCATCGGGTTTGCCTGCACAGCTGCCACCACCGCTTGGAAGTCCTCGCCAGCCTCCGGCGCCAGCGAGACTCACGGCTCCACTACGCCGACCATCGAGCACGATGCCTCCTCGTCGCCTCGGCGCTTGCCGCTGGAGTTGTCGACGTCCTTCGTCGACGACGTCTTCTTTGATGGCTGCTTCTCCTTACGCAACTTTGAATCTTGACGTGGGCGATGGATGGTCGATCGGCCACGACCTCTTTTGATGTCGTCTTCGTTGCTGTCGTCACGTCCGGGGCATTCGTAGGAGAGATGGTTGGGGTCATGGTAGATCCAGCACTCCCCCCGTCAACCACCACCTCCTCGACCCTTGTCCCATGTTGACCGCTTCTTGTTGACGTCCTTCGTCGACCGCCCACCTCTGCTACCACCTCCGCCCGGCTTCCCGTGCTGCTCTTGCTGACGATTCGGCTTCGTTGGTGCAGCGTAACTCGCCTGTGGAAGGAGCTCCGTGGGCTGTTCTGCCTCATGCATCGCCTCATCTTGGAGGATGTAGCTGGTGAGGGAGTCCTCGTCGAGTGACTCACGTGTGCCGGGCACCATCGTCATCCTCTTCATGAGGTTGTAGCTGTGCGGCAGGCCCTTGAGGACGTGGGTGATGTAGGACGCCGTCGAGTACTCGGCGCCTGCCATCCGCATCTTAGCCAGGATCCGTCGAGCACAGTTGCAATAGTCCGTCGCCGACTCCAGCTCGCCCATTCGAATGTGTGTCATCTTCTCCTCCAGCTGCCCCATGTACAAGTCGTCCTTCACCTGGGACGTCAACATGATGAAGTGCCATGCTTGGTGACCAGTATCCAGTCGCTCTCGATTGCTCTTGAGTGCTAGTTACACCACCGGCGAGTAGCACCTTGAGATGACCATGAAGGCGAGCAAGTGAGCAGCACGAAACTTCCCACGCAGCTCGACATCGTCCACGGGCGGAATTGGCAAAGCCCTTCAGCCTGGCGACCTCCAGCTGAGGCTCTATTGATTCCCTCCAGGTGATGAGGCCTCGTCGACCTTGCAGCGGTGCGACGGTGATCTATTCCGGCGAGAAATTGAAGTAGCCATACGCCGGTGCAATCTTGCCCGTCGTCACATGCGTCGTCGCCGAGAGCCCTCCACCGCTTTGTAGAGGAAGTCGACGTCAACCATCGACGTCGGCACGCGAGCTGCCCGCAGCTGCCGTTAACCGCTGCACTAGCGCCTGACTCTTGTTGACGCTACCGTCGACCTTGATCACTCCTCTCTGCTTCGTGCCATTGTTGCTGCTGAATCGAGCACCGCCGTCGACCTTGTCGTCGACGCCACTTTCGTTTCGTACCGGTCGAGGAGATTCAGGAGGGGAAGGGTGCTCCATCGCCCATTGCGTCCAGATGCCAAATTCGACGATCGCCAAGGGGACCTTCCCGTACTCGCCATTCTCAATGCGCTTCCGTGCATCAGCCAAACGTGCCTCCAAGGTGTCCGCTACGCCCGCTTCTACAACGGGGTCGACCATGGCGATTAACACGGCTGCCGGCCTACGAACGACTTAGTAGACGCAAGTGTCGGCTCCTATTTGAAGGTGATTTGCGGGGCTGTCCACGCTCACCGCACCATGCGGAGAGTCACTCTACAACGGTAGTGAGCTAGATTACGGGGGTTGACACGAACTACTATGAGTGATCGTAGCTTTGCTTAGTTCCTTAGTGCTTGCATATTCCTAGAAGAAATCGGCAAGAGTTTCCACTAGCAAAGTCGAAACTACAGAATGATTGAACAAGCAATGATAGAATTGAGTATATCAGGAGTCTAGCAACTTTGCACCTAGCTTGGTCGACAGCCAGCAGCGCATGGTCGACAGCCAGCAGCGCATGGTCGACCGCTTGCTAGCGTTGTATAGAGGAGCCACGCTAGCATTGCAGAAAGGCGACCTGCCAACACTTCAGGTCGACGGTGTGCCAACGCTGCAGCAGAGCGGCTTGTCCAGCGTTGCCCCGTAGAAGACAGCAGTGCTCACGCTCGCAGGTGCGCGCTGACGATTGGCCAACTTGCCTCGTTGTGCATCCGTCGGTTGTTGTCCTCGTCTAACGAGCCACATCGATTTCGGGATACCAGCTCAAAGTCGCCTTTGCCATCGCGACCTCGACGACGTTTGTGTGCCTCCGCAGAACTCGTCGAGCAAGTTACCCGGTCGACCTGGTCGACCACCAAGTGCTTTGGTCGACCACAAGGTGCCTCCAGTCGACCTCCAGGTGCCTCCGGTCGACCACCAGGTGCCTCTGGTCGACCACCAGGTCCTGTCAAGCTACCCCCTGGTCGGCGGACCCCTTCTGTCGACCAAAACTGTTAGCTGTTGTTGCCGAGCTTCTGCCGTCGACCGCTGCTCACTTGTCAGGTCGACGAACTACTCTGTCGGCCTCCCGGTCGAACTGCCCCTCCTGGTCGACGGCCCACCTGTCGCCGAGACCAGTTAGTTGCAGCTTTCGAGCTCCCTGGTCAACGGCTCCAGCCCCGTGCCAGTCCTGTGCAGGTCGACAGCTACCCCGTCGACCTGCCCCTGCAGAAGAAGGCTGTCGAGCACTCCTGGTCGACGGCGACACCACAGTGATTCCCTGCAGCTCTACAAAGCCCGTCGAGCACCTCCTTCACTGCAAATGGTCGGCTGCTTCCAAGTCGTCGGCCTTGCCCAAGCGAGGGCGGGGCCAACACTCCACTCCCGTTAACACACTAACACCTGAAGAGTAGTCATCTTTGGGGTGGGGGAGAAGGTCTAGAAGAAGTCGACCCCCTATCGTTGTCTGAAACCCCGAGCAACGTATCGTGCCTTGAAGGCAGGCAGAGAACCCGGCGGCCGATTCACTCTGAAAATCCACATGCCATCGACTATGTTCACACCATGAGGGGGAACCTCGTTGACATAGGTGTCTGTGGACTTCCAGGAAGCCATCTTGGCGCCATGGCTGTCTTCCAGGAAGACATAGGAGGTGACGGCAGGAGAACACGCTGTGGAACAAAGGAAGGACGCAGTGCCATAAGGTGAGTGCATGGGACAGCCGGAGCACAAGGACGAGCAACACAACGGGTACGAGCAGGTAAGGAAGCACGAGACTCAGGCTCATGATGCTCAGTCAAGGACTCAGCCACTTCAGTGTAAGGAGCAAGAGCAGAGAGCAGGGAGGCAGGTAGTAGCTGTGATGGGGACATGTCATCTGCCTGAGACGGGTCGGTTGGTG